TTCCTCCTCGGATGTCCATCAGCTTTCAGGGGACCTATGGTCCTGTTGAGGAGATGATTCCTCCGGCTCTTGGGATCAGCGCTTCGTGGAGCGATCCATCCCTCGTCACCAGACTCGGGTGAGTTACTTGCTTGCTATTTGTTTATATCTGTCTCGCATTATTACTTACTTTGTTTCTTGACAGCTCTCGCGCGAGGTGGTGACAGCAATGGCGAGGTGCATAGACGCCTTCCGGAGCCAGCTGGTGCAAATGAGGAACGTGGCCTCCTATTGTCGTGACGACACTGCTTAGGAGGTAGCTTTTTCCTCTATTGCATTATTTATTTTTCTATTTTCTTCGCATCTGACTTGATTTATTTTCGTAGGGACAACCTATCCCTTCGCGTCCTCGGACGAGACCCGAGGCTAGGAGGGAGCTTGCGGCTCGAGGCGTCACCGCACTACTTCTGGTGGCCGAGGCGACCGATCTGACGCTGATCGAACCAAGACAGTGTGGGGCTCGGGTTCTTCCTCTGAGGGTGCACGAACTGGGCCGATGGGTCAAGGAGAGGCGACATCGGCTCCTGTAGGTGGTGGGACGTACGAGGTCGGCTCGTCGTCGCAGCATCCTTCGCAGCCTTATCCTTTGCTGATTCATCACCAAGGTGACCCTGGGTGGACAGGTCCTGAGTTGAGGTTTCCGACTCGTGGCGAGTCCGGAGCTGGTGAGGAGCATACTCCTCGGTTTGCAATGTTCTTTGACATGATGAACATCTCTCATCATCAGCGCCCTCCAGCACTATAGTTGTACCTGTGTTTATTTTATTTTGACTATTGTAGGACTTTGCCAACTTACTCATTTATTAGACATATTTGTATATACAAACTATTATCTATTATGATTGTTTTATCTTTGCGTTTTATTTATCATTTTTATGTGCATATGTGTGTGTGCAAAAAATTTGTGATTAATTTTGCGCAAAAATTTCCGTCATTTTTATTAATAATGGAGGGTATCTAACTTTCTTCCCTACAAAGAAAAAAATGAAAAATAAATTGGACTTAAAACAAACCTAGAATTAAGCTTGAATAAATCCAAAAAGAAAAAGAATGAAAATATATTAAATTAATATGTGTGGGGATGATTTAACAAAGTGCGAAATTGTAAAGCCATTGTATGAATTCGAGTCATAGCCAGGAAAAACGCGGTTTGCATAGCATGCTGAGTAAGCGCTGCCGCGCCACTTTTCGCCACGCGTTTTGCGTTGTTGCCGGGCGACAGACTCTGTCGCAAGGCGACAAGCTTGTCGTCTGGCGCTGCAATGCACTGCCTTCGAATCCTTTCCGGAGTCAAACTACATCGATTTTGTAAATAAATAGCCCCCTAATTTGCCGATTTTCTGTATAATTTGAACATATTAGTTATAGTCTTAGCTTCTCAAAAAATAATCATGTCTTTAGTCACTAAGAGTTTTTGCAATTTTACTCCTGAATTGTGTCGGTCTTTAACTGCTAAAGAGAGAAAAGAACTCGACTGTTTTCACAGGGGAGGTATTTATGTTATTAAGGGGATAGATCTTGACATAGATTTTATTCATATAGCCTTAGGATATTCGAATACAGATACACATTGCTTTAGACTAGGGTGTAATGAAATTAGCCCTTTACAGGAAGAATTTGGTGCCATCCTAGGCTTCTCTTCATTAGATCTTGCGGTAATCCCTAGGGTGAATGAGTATTATTAAAAAGATTTTGAGCGCTTTTTTAATTTAAAAGACAGAGATCTATCAAATATTGTAGATGGTAGCGTAATCAATCTAAAAGAATTTGCTCACCACTACTTTGATAGACCTTATTCTTAATCTTTTCATGTTTATAGAAGAAGGACTGTTCTCTTTTGTATGCATAACCAATATCTTCTCACTAGTGGTAGAACTAATGAGGGTCAAACAATTATATTAACTGTCTTGGAGCAAATTGAATCTGGAAGGAATCCAATGCCATTAATTGTGGGAGAGACTATGCTTAGTCTAGATTAATTAAAGAAAAATCTAAAAGCACCTTTTCGAGGCTCTGAAATTTTATTACAGGTAGAAAAATAATATTTTTAATTACAAAAATCAAAAACATATTTTTGTATAGTAATACTAATTATTTACGTTTAATTTTTGTACAGATTTGGCTAATGGAGAGAATAGAATTAATTAGTCCTCCAAACAACATTGAAAAATGCACTCCAAATTGCTTTGTGAGGCGAAAGAAGTGTTTCTCTAAGATGGGTCGCCATGAGTGGAATAAAGTCTTTGCTTCTTGGAACTTTTCTATCAAGTGGGTCGTCCCATGGTGGAAAATAGAGAAGATGGTTGGTGTCAACAAGTAACCCTTCTGCCGTCTTCCAAACTTAACCAAGATGACTTTTTATGATCCCTGCAGGGTGAAAAGGCGGTACAGTCTACTTCAAAAAATTCCTTCCGGGGAACTCTGTCGTCCCTATGAATTCCCTGTTTCACAAGAAACAGAGAAATTTGACACATATTGGAGTGCTAGGCCTTTATGGGATGTGATTTTCCTTTCCCAATGATGTGAAGAGATGGCTTCTTAATAAGCCTACAAAGGACATGATGAAAAATCAGAGTAGAACCAATGTGATGAACCGTCTAGGTGACAAAGTGATTCCTATTATGGAACGCTTGGGTGAAAAAGTTGAATTTAAAACACATATGATGCCTAAGAAGAAATACAATACTAAGGATAAAGGGAAAAGAAAAGCTGACACTTCAGAAAAGAAGGTTTGGGTAGAAAAGAAGCATGGAGTCCTAGCTAAAAGAGAAACCATTTACTCTAAAATTGAATGTAGGTCCATAAAGGGTGCCTACTAGCTAAATTTATGGATGATGAAGAGGATGCAGATAAAAATTTGAAGAGGGCAAAGAAAGAGAAGAAAGATTGAAGCATTGCTTAACTTCCAATTTATTAGACTAGTTTAAATTTTAAGTCAATTTATTTTATTAAGCTTTTATTTAAATTCCATCAATAATGTAATTTTTATTTTATTAATGCAATTAAATTGACTTTTAAATTTAATTTATAAAAGCAATGAATACAACTTAAGTTATTTTCCAGAAGTCGAAAATTTTCCGAAGTTGCTATTTGTCGCCGGGCGACAAGTTTTGTCGCCTTGCGCTACAGTCTGTCGTCAGGCGACAGACTCCTTTTTGTAGCGCTGGTATTGCGTTGAATTTTTTTATTGCTTCTGGGATGCAAGGTTTGCAAAAATTAAAGTGGCCGCACCCTGTAAAGGGTTGCCTACGTATCCTTTCCTAAGGAACTAGGCCAAACGTAGCTCTCTTGAGTTTCCTACTCAAGTAATTATGGGTAGTACTTTTTATGTTGGCCAAGGTTCGTCATGTTTGAAAACTCATTGCCATCCATATCAGTTAGTTTTGCCGCACCTGCTAACAGAATGATTTTGACGATATATGGTCCGGACCAATTAGGCCTAAATTTGTATCTTGGATCCAAAACATTTTTCCTTACAGCTTTTAACACCAAGTCTCCTACTTTGATTCTTGTCTTAACCTTCTAGTCCATTCTACTTCATCGGGTTTTCTTTCTAATGAAATGCGTAGAGACGATATCTCTAGCTCTACAGGTTGTACAACATCCATTCCATAAACCATGGAGAATGGCGTATTTCCTATTGATGTGCGAATTGACGTACGATAACCCTAAAGTGCGAAATGGAGTTTGTTAGGCCAATCCTTGTAGTTTTATGTAATTTTCTTGATGATAGCCTTTAGATTTTTATTAGCCGCCTCAACTGCCCCATTTGCTTGAGGTCTATAAGGGGAAGAGTGATGATGTTGAATACCATATTTTTGTAACAATTCTTCACATTCTGCTTGAAAGTGAGTTCCTTTGTCACTTATCATCTCATGTGGGACTCCGCATCGACAAATAATATTCGTTTCGATATAGAGTGCTACATGTTTTGCAGTGAGTTTTGCATTTAACTGTGCTTCAACCCACTTTGTGAAGTAATCAACTGCTACTAGGATGTATTCTTGACCTCCTGTCTCGAGAGGGGTAATTTTACCGATAATATCAATTCCCCATGTAGAGAATGGCCATGGTGAAGTGTAGGTGTAGAGTATAGACGGAGGAACATGTTGTAAGTTAGCGTAAATTTGGCATTTAGGGAACCTTTTTACATATTGATGACAATCCCTATTCATGGTAGTCAAAGAATACCCTTCTCGCATTACCTTTTGGACCAGTATTTTGCCATTAACATGGGTTTCACAAATGCCTTTGTGGACTATCCTCATAGCTCTTTGGGATTCCTTTTTCCCTACACATAAGAGAGCTCGACCCTTAGGTACCCTTTTATGTAGCTCGTTGTTTATGAGTACGTATTGGGAAGCCAAGAGTCTTAATGCTCGTTTTGCTCTTTTGTTAGCATGAGGAAGATATTCTCCTTTGGTAACGTAATTTAGTATATCCGTATACCATGGTTCTTCTTGTTCTTCATTGTGGACCACTTCATCATCTTCTATAGCTTAAATGTAAGCCAGTTTATGCCTTTTCTCTATTGTTAGAGGCATTTGCTCGATTTCCGTAGAAATCCTAACCATTGAGGCTAGTCTTGTAAAGGCATCAGCAAATTGGTCTTCCTCTCTGGGTAGATAGGTGTATTATACCTTTTCAAACTGGTTGGTGAGAGTCACTAGTGGAAAAATACATATCCGTAACGGGCATAAAAGGCTTATTCGTAACGGGCAGCGGGCGTTACGTATGCCACCGTTACGGATAGCCAGTGTTATTTGTAATAGGCAGTGTCCGTTACAAATAACAAGTTATTCGTAACGGATAGTTGAAATGCCCGTTACAAATAACTTGTTATTTGTAACGGACAATTCAACTGCCCGTTACGAATAACTTGTTATTTGTAACGGACAATTCAACTGCCCGTTACTAATACTGTTTAGCCTCAATTAAAAAAAAAACCAGCATAATTTACTGGGTTGTCGTCATTTTGTGCTTTATTACTCAATAAAAAAATTTATTTATTCCACAATTTTAATTAGTATAGTTGGCCACAAAGCTAATAAATCAAGAAACAACAATTTTTTTTCCTTAGAACACTATATACATAATTGGTGCTGGACTAATAGAACACTAACAGCAGCAAATAAAACTGAACAATAGAATAAGAAAACAACATTCTTCTTCTGGACCAGCGAACAGTACAGGAACTGGCAACACTGTTTTCCCCTCACCTAACTCTCCTCCATCAATTCATACACCTCTTTAAAAGGAAGGCCTTAGGATTTGATGAAGCTGCTTCTTATTTTAAGTATGCCAGCTCATTAAGAAAAACAGTAATCTCAACCCGTGTTGACTCTAGAACAAGTAACAAGCACCTGAGAAACAAAGAATCACAGATAAACTCCTTAAACTACCAAGATAAGATTGAGTGATCAACCTAAGAAGTGTTTGTGTGCAATTTACCTAGGTGTCTTTTTTTATTTCTTGTTTTCTTCTAGGATAGATTCGAGAAACTCAAGTACCATTGTAAATCTTGCGTGATAGAAGGAAAATGAACATCAACAACAAATTAAAAAAAATAAAAAGCAAAGATCTCATTGCATGAATATGAAATAAAATAAGCCAGGAAAGTCCAATGTACAACAATCTTGATAATTTGTATTCCAAAGTGGAATCAAAAAAAGAATAAGACGAATGAGGTAATACCTGATCAATTTAAAGATAACTTTATTTGTCTGAGAGGAAAAAAAAAAAGAGAGAATTAACACATTGTTGAAAACCATAGTCATAACAAGCAACAAAAAAGATAACAGAAGAACTAGTCAATGCATCATGCATGAGCAGTAAAAGTTACTATAACACTAAGCAATTTATATAACATCCCACTTACAATCTTTTATTCACAAAACCAGATCTAGTAGATTAAGAAGGCAGCCACTCTGTAGGTTTTCATGAATTTCATAAAATTTTGGCATCATACTTTCTGCATTATGGACAGATAACAAGGTAAAAATTTACTTCACTAGTTTAAAAAACTTTCATTCCACAATCACAGCAATAGAATCTAGTCATGTCATAAAGCATGATAAGGTGTCACCATATAATAATCAAGACCAATTACGAAGTATAAGCCTTTACGTAATTTAGCATCTCGGAACAGGGTGGTTCCATACTTACAAACTATTCTAGTTAAGTTTGGCTTTAGAAATAAGAAAATGAGCAGAGAGTTGCAACTTCATAATCACGACATAAGACCGTCTAAAATACACATAATATAAACACCTATGAAGTTCTCTATAGTAAAATAAGTTTAAGAACATATTTCTTGACATCCAAAAGTACAAATTTTTATGATAATTATTTGCCTCAACATGGAAAGAAATGATTCTCTAATTCGATTCCCAAACTCAAGTTCTTTGCCACATAAAAAATGCACCAGGAATACAATGAACATCTGCTTCACTAAAAAAAGGACAACAATGTGTCTCCAGTAACTCCAAAATATTGTAGACAATGAAACCGTGAAGAATGATTGATTTTTCTATTGAGATAGAAAGATAGATTGTGTGCTCAGAAATCATATCTACGGGTGAAGATGTGGCTGGCCTAGTCGTGAGCTACAAGAACTCAGTTTGATCAAAATTCATCCAAAGCTCCACTTGAAATTAAATAAACAGCTAAGCTCTTCTAAAAAGGATCATGAGAAAGCTCAAGCATAAGAATTAAAAATAATATCTCACACAAAACCCTATTAAACCAGAGAAAAAAAATATAGGTACTTCTAGAAAAGCCCAAGCATAGAGTCCATAACCTCAAATCAATGATATGTGGTTAGTTGTCTTTGTGAATACAGAGGTTACAAAGGATCCCCCGCCCTCCCCGAAAATAGTGTGCACATACACACTCTGTACCAATTAAAAAAATCCAACACATTCAACAGCTTATTTTAGGGAATGAGTGAGAGAAAGAGATTTCATACAGTACTCGACCATCAATTAGTGGCTTGAAGTCTGATATCATAGCACTTTTAAATCCCACTCGTTGGGTTGGAGATGATCTTTTATTTCCACCTTCTAACAATTTTTGCAGAGTATCATCAACATGAGAAAAAAGAAAAGTAATTATTATTTTTTATTTTACCAAATAAATCATGTTCACCAAGAGAGTGAAGGTATGGAAAAAGTACTAGCTATTTGTGATATCAAGAATAACTAGTGAACATAGTCAAAATGACAAATTCTGTTGAGTTACCTTTCTAGTTGCCCAGAACTCATCCTCTGTGAAAATTTTACCAATTACCAACTGTTTATGAAGTTTCATAAGCTCACTGCAAAAAATAACCAGTATCCATATTCAATAAACCTTGTGGGAACAAAACATAAGAAAACGAGGTTTCGTTGCTCTCGTCATGGTAATTTCTTGAATCAACGGCCCTTCATGGCTCCGATCAATACAAATAGAAATCCTTCGACATTTAAACATTGTTGGTCAGTTACTTGTCTTCTTGCAAAAGTTTTATTCATCTCTCCATTTCTTCTGAACTTAATTGAGTAGGTCCTTCAGAATCCTTTTTGGGAACATCTAGGTGCTTCTCAAGGACCTTGGTTGTTCACAAAGTGTCATGCTAAATATCATTAAGACCAAAAACTTTAACCATACCCCTACATTTAAAAGAAAGGGATAGGAATTTCATGTCACAAAGTGAAAAATTACAAGCAACAATCATTAATATTTAAGTCTTGGGAACTTGATTTCATTATAATGTTGCACTAGTAGATTATGCTCTAGTAAGTTCTGGCAGAAAAATAAACCCCACGATTATATAGACTTCAAATGGTTGGAACACAGTGACAAGAATATATATATGATTATGCTCTAGTAAGTTCTGGCAGAAAAATAAACCCCACGATTATATAGACTTCAAATGGTTGGAACACAGTGACAAGAATATATATATATATATGCCTTCCTTTTTTATCATAAAAGATTGATATCAAATTGGCTCAAATGACCAAACAACAAATCCTTCCACTAAACGCCGTATCCTATACCCTGTGTCAAGAATAGATATTCTCATATAAATCTTTTATTCCCACTGACATCTGGTCATCAACATAGACTAATCAAAATAGCTAAGAGAAAAATGCAATATGATTAACACCAGCATTTCATCAATTTAGTATACACATGATATCTGAGAGTATCTAATTTACAAAAGATCTAGCAAAGTTCTACCTAATTTGTATAGCTCAAATAGGGGGAAAAGACAACATAACCTAATTTGTCACTTGTGCTGCTTTGCAGATAGATATGTGCACGCCAATTAGCGACTATTAGCTAGGTTCCAGATAATAACATAGCAGAAATTCATATACTTGTAAAAATCGATCTTGCATCACATCTGATTTATAAGTTAGAAAGTCACTCTTTGCAATGTTGCACCAATCATGCATGACATAGTTAATTTTCAGCAAAATTCCTCAAAAGATAATGTCAGACACCGAAAAATATATAATTAATGTCAAAGTTCAATTTTAACTTACTCACAAAATCCCGACACATATCTCCATCGCTGAAGTTCTCAAATTAAAATATATACCCTTCTGATCCTTCTCCCTAGAAACAAAGATAACAACAGAATCAAATAAACAACTTCAGATACCAAGAGTAAATCAAACGATAAAGTTTCTGAGTTACATAGAACAATAGAGCCATTTTTATGCTGATAGAAAGAAGGCATGACTACTAGTTTATGTTAATTGTATTAGCTTATTATTAAGTAGTAATAACTTAATTCAAACTCAGATTAACGAGGTATTAGCTGATACTAGTAGCGTTTCAACAAGTGTATTTTGATCACTACCCAAAATTTAATCACAAAATTTGCAGCTAAACCCTAATTCAAGTGCTTAACAAAAATTAGCAATAATACCAAGAAATTAATGATATGAACAAGAATAAACTTACAGAAGCACATGAAGATAATGTACAAAAGATCTATTCGCAACGAACCACAACAACACGTCAATAATAACAAGATCTCTTTACAACGAACCACAACAACACGTCAATAACCCCTTGGATCTATAAAGAAAATTAAAACCCCCAATTTAACCATTTTTTCTCTAAGATTGATGGAGGAGAAGAGAGAAGGACTAAGATCGACATGAGAGGAGAGGAGAGGAGAGGGAGAGGGAGAGAGAGAGAGAGACGGGGAGGAGAAGTGAATGACAGCTAATGGTGAAAGCCGTGAAACCCTAATAAAAAGCCTAATGGGCTCCTCTATAAGTTGGGCCAAGTTTGGGCATTTGTATCGGGCACATTACGACTGTTACGTGTAATATAGTATTTGTAACGGGCAAAATAGTGTCTGTTACGAATACTTATTTATTTGTAACGGGCACTAATTTGTCCGTTACAAATACTTACTTATGTATTTGTAACAGACACTATTTCGCCCGTTACAAATAAATAAGTATTCATAACGGACACTATTTTGCCCGTTACGAATATCTTAATTGTAACGGGCAAAGCTTTGCCCGTTACAAATAGCCTGTTACGAATGAGATTTTTTCCACTAGTGAGTTTCCAAATTGGTTTGGTAAGGGGCTAGACTTTCACTCCTTACTTTCCATATTTTGAAAATTTGGTTGATGATCAAAGAAGAGTCTCCGAACATTTGTAATTTCTTTACTCCAAATGCCAAAGCTGTTTCGAGGCCTACCACACATGCCTCGTATTCAGCAGCGTTGTCGGTAACGTCGAAATCTAGCTTTATAGAGATTGGAACATGCTCTTCTTTAGGTGATACTAATAATACTCCAATGCCGCATCCTTTTTGGTTTGAGGCTCCATCGAAGTATAAAGTCCAAGTATCATCTTCAGTAACCATCAAGTCTTCATCTGGAAACTCGTTGTCATGTACTGGCGTCGAATCTTCTATTAGGAAATCTGCTAGGAAGTTCGAGACCACAGATCCTTTGATAGCCTTTTGAGGCATGAATCTTACATCGAATTGGGCTAAATTGACTATCCACCTTGATATGCTCCCATTGAGTGTAGACTTTTCGAAACTACAAAGACTATATGCACGAGCATGTAATGTCTTAGCTTGGTTGTAGCCTACACTAATGCGAGGCACAATTTTAATGCTTAGATAGTAGATTGCATTTTCTTTTCCTTCTACCTCTTGTGCAAGCATAGCCCCCATTGTCTCCTTAGTGACTGTTAAGAACAACCTAAGAGGGATCCCTGGAAGCGCTGGTGCTAATACGGGAGGATTTGCCAGATGGGCTTTGATCTTTTCAAAGGCTTTTTGACACTCGTCGTCCCATATTAATGGCACATTCTTTTTTAACTTCTTGAATATTTGTTCGCATATCGTTGTTAGCTTCGATATGAACCTACTTATATATTGTAACCGGCCAATAAATCCTCGAATTTGCTTCTCAGTTTTGGGAAGTGGCATTGACATAATCGCCTTGATCTTGGTTGGGTCTATCTCTATTCCTCTAGAGCTTATGAAGTATCCCAAGAGCTTGCCTGAGGTGACTCTAAAAGCACACTTTGATGGATTCAACCTCATATTGTATTTCTTAGTCTTTCGAAAAATTTTCTTAAGGCTACTTGATGTCCTGGGTGATCTTTTGATTTCACGATCATATCGTCCACATATACTTCAACCTCTTTGTGGATCATATCATGGAGTAGGGCAACTGCTTCTTGTTGGTAAGTAGCACCCGCGTTTTTCAACCCGAATGGCATTACCGTGTAACAGTAAGTACCCCAAGGTGTTATAAATGTTGTTCTCTCCATGCCTTCTTCCGCCATGAGAATCTGGTTGTACCCCGCGTATCCATCCATAAATGAGAGAAGCGCATGTATTGTTGTATTATTTACTAAAATATCGATGCGTGGTAAAGGGAAGTCGTCCTTTGGACTTGCCTTATTTAAATCTCGATAGTCAACACACATTCTTACCCTTCCATCTTTCTTTGAAACTGGGACCACATTTGCTACCCATTCGGGGTATTTGGATACCCTAATAAAACATGTAGTTATTTGCTTTTGAACTTCTTCTTTTACTTTAAGAGCTACGTCGGGTTTCATTCGACGCAGCTTTTGTTTTACAGGTTTCATTTCCAAAATTAGTGGTATAGTGTGTTGAGCTATTTCTCTATTAATGCCTGGCATATCTTCATATGACCAAGCAAATACACCGATAAATCCTTTGAGTAGATTAATTAAATCGGTTCTTTCTTCTTATTTAGTGTTAATCTGATTTTAACTTCTCTTTTAATGGTTGAACCATTTGAGATATCAACCGTTTCAGTATCCTTAATTACCGGTGTTTTCTTTTCAAGTTTTTTGATTGCTTTAATAATTTATTTGTAATTTTCATTGTTAGTTAAGCAATGCTCGTCATCTTGGGTTAATGAATAACACGAGGAGTAAGAGGAAGAAGACATGTTATTAAATTCAGAAATCATTACATCGAATAAATAAATGTCCTCAGGGACTTGATTGCTAACTATCCTAGGAGTAGATGATAACATAGAAGAAGGAGAAGAAGAAAGAGGTGCTACAGCTAAGGACTTAGGAGACCCTAAAGGAAAAGACTCTGACTCTGACTCTGACTTAGACGACTATTCAAACATTGGTCCTTGTCCTGTTGTTATTGATATTTTTCTTCCTCTCGGAGTAGTCACCGTGATTTTCTTACGCCATCCTGCACTAAACCCTCTGCTGGACTGATGAGCTTCGAAGAGTTTGTAGGACTGTTTGAATGAGCGAGGAGTTATCCTCTATGTACTTTGGCTCATCCTTCTCGCGCCCAAAGAGGAGTCCCATGACGTTGAAGTCAAAGCATGGGGATGCTTTCTCCTTGCGAATAGGAGTTGGGATCTCATCTAGAAAGTAACAATCCAGAAAGATTTTGAACTCAGGTTTCCTTATGCCATTTACAACGAAAGGTTTAGGAAATTCGTAGCATGGATAGTCCTTTCCTTCTCTTATAAACTGTCCTTTGAGAGTAAGAGGATATTGCTCCATTGGGATTGCTTTCTTTTGGGTGCGAGCGTTCCTACACGCTTTAGACCTTTCCTGGGCTCGCTTAAGATCTTCTCGAGTCGGTTCAAAGCCAAGTCCGAAAGTATCTAACTTAGGGAGGCCAGGTAATTCCATTTGTTTTGCTATCTCCTTTTTCTTTCCTAGAGTCTTTCCCGGAAAGTGTCCCTATCTCTTGAGAATATCATTTATTATCATATTAGAGTGGGGGTCGTGACAAAGAGGGGTCCTTTCATCCTCCTTGATTAAGGAGACCTCTTCATTAAAGCCCCACAAGTCTTCATCATTCTCATCGTGCTCCACATTAATAATCGGATATTCGACGGCTTTGATTCTCATTGGTGAAGCATTGATTTTAATAGGGATCCCTTTAACTATAGACTTTACTTGTTGGTGAAGAGATGAAGCGACGACCTTGAGGTCGTGAAGCCAAGGGCGTCCCAACAATAGGTTGAAGGAAGCCTTAATATCTACCACTTGGAAGGTAGTGGCATGTTGTATTGCTCCCGCCGTCACATTCACGGTGATTTTTCCAAGAGCTTGGCGACGGTTATTGTCGTAGGCTCTTATTCCTTGTGTTGACGGGGTTAAATCTTCATCCCTTATTCCTAATATTCTTGCTGTTCTGAGTGGACAGACATTGATTGCCAATCCGTTGTCCACGAGAGTCATTGCGACATTCATCCTCTTGCAGACTACTAGGAGGTTTAAAGCCTTGTAATGCTTGTCACCTTCCAGAGGTAAATCCTTGTCAGAAAAGGTGATTAGATTGATAAGACTAGGGAGATCACTTGTAAGGAAGTTAGCCAACCCCTCAGGAGTGGTTTCAGAATCTATCCATATCTTATCCAAGGCATTCATTACTGCTAGCCTATGTTCTCGGGATGTAGCTAGAAGTTTCCATACGTTCATTTTGACCTTAGTCTTCTTGAATTGTGTGACAACATCGTTTTCCTCTATAATTACTATGGGAACTTGTTGCAAGGTGGCAATAGGTTGTGTAGAGATGGGAGATTGCATTCTCCCAAATCTTGTGAGTTTGTCTATGGGTGAATCTTCTTCATCCCAAAAATCGCTTATCGGATATATAACTGAAAGTGGAGGTTCTTCCATATCCTTAAGATATACGTCTTCATCATCACTGTCCCAAACCCCATTGATGCTAATATCTTGTTCTTCTGGGATTTGAACTAGCTTCTTGTTATCAATAATCTTCTAAATGAAATCTTTGAATTTAAAACAGTTCTCAATGGTATGTCCCCCTGATTGATGGTATGGACCGTAGAACCTATCTGTCCTCTTTAATGACTCAAATAGTCTCGGTTTGAGAGGTTTGACATTACCACTCTCGGAGAGCATTTTGAACATATTAGCATAGAAAGTCCCAATTGGAGTGTAGGGCTTGGTACTCTTCTTGGGTGTGTCAATTACTTGGAGATGGAATGGTTTCTTCTCCGCAGGTGGAACTTTAACCTGCTTGCTTTGAAGCTCCTTTCCTTGTTTATTCGCTAATTCAATAGCTTCACGTAAGAAGTCTATCCTCTCCCACATTGATCGTATGAGAATCCATACTTCTTCCTTAGTTGCAGGCTCTTGTTCCAAAGGAAAATCACTCATGGCACCGAAAAAGATTTCCTCCTCTTCTTCGATAGCATGAATTTCTTCAACTGGTTTAATGAGGGATGATGGATCAACATGGTTTTCCTCATCAGAGATAGCCAAAGAATCAGAGAGGGGTGCATTGTTAATGCTTGGCTTCTTGCTTGCAAGGGGAAATGGAAGCTTATTGCTGTCAATCAAGTCTTGGATAGCTTCTTTAAGCTTCCAACAGTTTTTAGTGAGATGGCCCCTGCCTTGATGGTATTTGCAATGTGCATTGGGGTTCTAGTTAGCTGTTCTCTTTTTAACTGGTGGATCTTCGAATGGTCCAATAGGAGTTATAAGACCTTTTGCATTCAGTCGGTCGAATGCGGTGTCATAACTCATACCAATAGGAGTAAAGTTCCTCCTAAATGGTTTCTTTTGTCCTTGGTTGTTCATAGCAAGGACTTCACTCATATTAAAGGTTCTAACATTATTTGAGTGGGTGGTTTTGGAAGAAGAAGGATTGTCGTTCTTCTTGCCCTTCCAGCCACTGCTAGAGTTATTATTAGCAGCTTTTTGTTAAGCAAGGTCAATTTCAATGTTAAT